GTCAGGTCGCGTCAAGCGAGCTGAGTTACAATCTAGAGAAAACTTAAATACTGAGAGAGAGTCTGCTTTTGAAAACTAAAGAAATGAGCCAATCCCGTAAATGAGAGAGGACCCCTCTATTTATAGTCGAGGGATTCAAGATAGTAATCATGATTCTGCAGTCGGGCAGGTGTGGTACAATTCCTAACCTGCTTCCCATTGACTGTTTACACAGGAGATATCCTTAAATCGCATAGGACTTGGGTAGGTGGACCATTCCTAGCCACTCACAAGCCAGGCTTTCACCTGCCACACTGATGACAACCTTACCTCTTTCGTCCTTGCGCAACGTGATAGCGTCTAGACGACACAAAGCCTTCATAAACTCTAATTGGCCTTTGTTGGCATGAGCTTACGCTAGCCCTGATTTTTTAGGCATAACAGAAGCCCCCCAGTTTTTAAGGTTTAAGGATTGAACCTTGAGAACTTCATGATTATGCCATGACGTGACTTATCCCGAGTGACGCCTGATCGAGTTGTAAAGAGGTCACAACATAGGTCTCTAAGAATAGCACAAGTGACCTGAGGCGGCCTTCTCCCACAGGTTCAGCAACCTAGGTCGGACACTACTCAGTGCTATACAATCATGCTTTGAATTTCATCCATCGCTCGCGACCTAAAAATTCTTAGCACACTTTTACCAAAAACAAGGGATCACATTGTCTCAAAATCGATACATGGAGTGTTTTACTCGAACGACCTCTTCAGATGTTATTCGTAGCGCTTGACAGTTGGTTTGGTTAATAAAATAAACTTTATTCTGATAAATATGTCTCTTGCGCAATAAGTGCCAGCCATGCTCATTAAATATAAGTCATGTTGAAACGACATTCACTTTCAGAGCATTAAATGCGGATGGGGGAGCATTTAATGTGGAGGAGGTAACTGCACCGATGCTTGGTTACTCCAATGGAGGGAAACATCGATTGGCATTCACGAAGCATGAAGGTTACTCTTCACGTGGATTAACGACACATGGTCATAATCAATGGTGAGAAACATCTCCCACCCAAGCGTCGCTTGCTAGGGAAACCAATCGTTGTCTTTCCCCCTATAAAACCTTGGGTTCGCCCCAAGTTTTATCACAGAACTCACATTTTCAAAGAGAAAAAACAAACTTTGCTCTCGCGAAATCAGTCTGTTCTTCTTCCAATTGATGCACACTCTTCGTTATGACAAGATGTTCGTCCCCAACAGTTAAGAGGTAAGGAAGACTTCTCCTTCGTTTTCCTCTATTATTTCTGTTTAAACCTTGACTTTACAATAATAGTGGGTATGAACTGTCTGGTAAGCTTATATGATGCATGTTTCTAGACAGTGGTAAAAATAGAACTTTTTCTTTATAAAAAGTGAGAACTTGGGGCACGGATTCTGGGGAATTCATTCCCAAAGGTTTTTAGGGTTTTTCTAGGGGTTAAGGAAAGTAAATTAGGGCTTCTTTTGCTCTTCCACGTCATCGTACGAAACACTGTATGGAGACTAAGTCATCTCTGCATGTCGCCCCTTTTCCAGACTTTAGAAGCAATGGACACTTCAACGACTAGAGCAGCCAAGGGGACGAGCCTTGTTCCTCTTGATCCTTTTCTTGAATGGAAGTCAAACCATCAACATACTCCTTGTAGTGCCTCTTCCTGATGAGGTCTTCAATTGCTTGCTTGAGAGCCCGACACTCATCGTTGTGATGCCTATTATCCCAATGGTAGTGGCAATATTTTTGTTATTCTTGGCTGAGAGGGATTCTTCATGGGCTCTGGCTCTCCCAGCAGGCTGGCCTCCTCTGATTTATCCAAAATGGCCAACACTGAGGCATTCAAAGGAGTGTATTGGCTTTTGTCATGATTGCGACAAGGAACTTGGGCATAAGATTTTTTGGGCTCAAATCACTACTTCTTTCCTTTCCGCTGATCGTCATTAGCCCATATGCGATCAGCCCTTTTACTGTTCTCCCCTCGGTTGGGAGCACTGGTCGAGGGACCGAGGTCGTGATGATTAAGAGCAGCCACGAAATTTTTGATTCGGATATACTTCTCAGTGAGGTCGTAGAAGTGAGTGAGGGAAACATTGTCCTCAGATTGCAATTCTTTCCACAAGTTAGTCTGCGGGCGAACCCCCATAATAATGAGAGTCCGAACGGACTCTTCAGGAGTGTGAGGCACTTTCTGGAATTCCTTGTGGAATCTGTCTATGTAAGATTGGAGAGACTCATTCCTCTCCTACCGTATGTTACTTAGATAGCTCAACGGTATCGAGAACTTCCTGTTCACCTGGAAGTGCCTTAAGAATGACAAGCTCATTTGTTGCCATGAGCTGATAGATCTTACGGGAAGCAATCTGAACCAGTGCTTGGCATGGGCAGTCAGAGTTATTGCCAAGCAGGGACATTTGGCCAAGTTGGAGACTTGGTGGAGTTCCATAAGGTCGTTGAACTCGTAAAGGTGATCTTGTGGATTAGAATTTCCATCGAACACCCGCATATCAGGCATTCTAAATCTCGACAAGAGAGGGGCAGCTAACACTGCTGGAAAAAAGGGAGATGGCTCACGCTCATTCTATTGAGCTTTAAGTTGATACAAAACTAGCTGTAATTCCTCAATCTGAGGTAGTGGAGCTACCTGAGGATCATTTTCCGCAACATGGGTTCAACCCTCACAGTTGCGGTTGAGGAAAGACTGCAAATCAGACTCTTCCTCAACTCAGTCGAAAGCTCCGGCGAACCTTAACACACGTTGGCTGGGGCCATGTGAAGGCATTGAATAGCTCGAGGAGTTTTCCAGACCTCCGCGGTGGTCAGAACAACCCACGGACGACGGGGGTTTTCCACATGATGATAGTCGAGGTCATAATGTTGGCGAATTAGGAATCTCTCTACCTTGCACTTTTGTGGGAGTGCACATGCGACGTGGCGTGGGACAGCTCATGCTGCGACATGTCGCTAAGTCGCAATGCCACTGGTATCTACCTGTTGCACGACCGGTGTTCGCTAGTCCCTCAGAGCCTTTCGGCCCACTGTTCGCCAATTGCTTTCCCTTGCTCTTATGTGCTACAGTGCGCGTGGTATGGGCTTTCGTCCTTTTCCACGCTTTCGCGCAACCTGCAAGTGTCTTTGGAGGTGGCACCGCCTCGTCGGACTCTGGTGGCACGACCCGATCCAAACGGTCTAACCTTTGGCTAACCATTTAGAGAGTATTGTTGAACCTCTCTAGGTAATCTAGGTCGAGTTGTGAGCTCGAAGGAATATCCACCATGGTACTGTGTTGGACTAGAGGCACTTCGGGAGAAGTGACATCCTATACCCGGGGGATTTCCTCATTGTCGAGGTTGGTTCGCTCAGTTTCAAAACCACGAGCCATTTACTGATGGATATGACCAATCGGTCAGAGATTCCTGATAAAGAGTGGATACTAAATCAGACCCTCCTTCTAGCACCAAACTGTTGATGCTTGAGTTTGATACCAACGACTCTCACGTGATATGGAAATGTGCAACGAGAGAAAAGACAAGAGCTATTTTTAAAGTGGTTCGGATGCTCAAAAGAGAATCTTATGTCCACTATATATGTATTAATGGATGATTACAGTCAGGTCGCATACAGCAAGCTGAGTTACAATCTTAAGAAAACTTAAATACAGAAAGAGAGTCTGCTTTTGAAAACTAAAGAAATGAGCCAATCCCCTAAATGAGAAAAGAGCCCCCTATTTATAGTCAAGGGATTTAAGGTAGTAATCATGATTCTGCAGTCGGGCAAGTGTGGTACAATTCCTAACGTGCTTCCCATTGGTTGTCTGCATAGGAGATATCCTTAAATCGCGTAGGGCTTAGGCAGGTGGATCATTCCTAGCCACTCACAAGTCAGGCTTTCACCTGCCACACTGACGATAGCCTTACCTCTTCCGTCCTTGCGTGACGTGGCAGTGTCTGGACAACACAAAGCCTTCTTGAACTCTGATTGGCCCGTGCTGGCGTGAACTTACGCCAGCCTTGATTTTTTAGGCATAACAATATTAATATAGAGCTTTTACCCAAAAGTTGTGAAGAGATCACGCCGAAGCATAAGACAAACGTTATGATTGATATACATGTATGAAAAAATAAATCATACACAAACTAAAGAGATACAATAAATTTAATGAGGTTGTTAAAGCAGTACAAATAGAGCACAAAAATATTCTTAATTTCATAGATAAACCCATTTATAGTGTTTAAATTACTCTACTAATTTATCACAATACATATGGTTTGTAACCTTTCTTCTTTTATAACAAATATTGATCAGTTCACACCAATATATTTATGGTTGATATATAATAGTTTTTGGTCAATAATGGAGGACATAGACATTGTACTCCACGACGACATTTTTAGTGTTTATATCAACGGTGTGAGTCTTTACCTAAGCATACAGCCACGAGTAGACCAGAAAGCGCCGCTACCACCATTGATCAGCATTTCCCTCTTTGCCGAAAAAATGGCATTGCACCCCAAAACACTGAGAAAGACTATCAAGGGTGTTTGGGCTAGCTTGCACGCACCTCAACTAATCTTCTGGGACCTTGAAATTGATGACCAAGTAAGTCTTTCAGTGGTCAACCCTATTAAGGCATGTGGAGACTTGAACTTAAGAATTCATAAAACCTTTTTTTATTCTTTTACCATCAGGTCACTTGGCGATGGTTAATTATCATTGAACTTGTCTTATAAGGTAATAGGATTTTGGAGAAGAGAAATGTAACATGGATTTATAGCTTATGTATATCCAAATTCTCCTTCTACCATTAGACCACTCTATCAAAATTTAATTATTTTACAAATTTCCTTTTCTCATAATGTAATAGTGATCACATTAATGTAGAGTTTTTACCAAAAAGATGCAATTAATCATAAAATAAATATTTATTTCAAAACTGTCATACATTTTTAAGAGACCACAAGGAAACATACATAAGAGTAAAAGAAAATAAATAATACACCAAATAAAATAAAGTTAAATTCCAATCAATAATGGAGTACATAAACGTTATACTCCACGACAGCATTTCTAGTATTTAAATCAACAGTATGAGTCTTCGCCTGAGCATAGCCACGAGCAAACCTGAAAACGCCGCTACCACCGACGATTGACATTTCCCTCACCGCCGAAAAAATAGTATTGCGCCCCGAAACACTAAGAGTACTACCATTGAACTTGCCTCCAGTGAAAGCAAAATTTAACACCATCAAGAATCCAAACTCACTTTGTGATGCAGAACCATAAAACCTCTGCGCTCTTCCTACGAGCCTCGAGCTAAGCTCAGGCGCGACGGTCAAAGGATCGTCCATCACCCACACAGAGCCGAAGGAAGTTGAAGATGAGTTATTGGTTGTGGCTGGCTGGACGATTTGGAGAGTTGTTGGGTGTTTAGCAGTGATGAAATCATGGAAGTAGAAGTGAAGGCGGGTTAGCTTCTGTTTTTTGAGCCCTAGAGAAGATGGAGATAGGGTTTCGGAGAAATTTCGACCAGGATTTGCAGAGATGAGAGTGGAGAAAATAATTAGAAGAAACGGAGAAAGAGTAATGAAGGATTTGACCATGGAAATGAACTAGTTTGAGCTTAATTTTGGAGAATGAAATAAATGAACGAGCTTATATAATCCTTAATTAATGAAATAAAGCTTCTCTTTATCGAGTAAATTAATCCTTAATTAATTGTTGTTTTAATCATTGCTATATTAATTAATGAAGATAAATATTTTATATGCAACATCAATATAACATTAACTAAAAAGATTAAATAATTATCATGAAAATCATTGATTGAACGTCTTTGCATGGCTTTAACACATTAAACACATTAGTAGAACTATATATATATATATATATGACGGAATGTGTTCGGACTAGTTTACGTGCACCTCAATTAATTTTTCATGACATTAGAACTATCGACTGGTAAGAGCTCTAGTGGTTATCATTATTAGCAATTAATGAGAGACTTGAATTCATGATCTCTTGAGTAATATATTCAAGAGCCTCTATTCAATCACTCGATCACTCAAATGTAGTTTATCATATACTATATTGCAATAACATTACTCTTATATTCATATATATTTATAATTAATAAAGGTTATTGTATATAACAACATGATAAATATTTTTTTCTTTATCTCCACTCCAAAAAAAACGTTTCTCTTCTTTGATAGAATGAAGGTTTCTTTTTATATAAAAAATAAAATTCATTTAAAACAGAGAATGTCTAATTCATTTATTAAATATAATTCAAGGAGGTAATCAAAATCATGAAAATGCATAGAAATGAGATCGAAATCTGAATCTTGGAAATATGTATTGCAACAGAAATATTATTTATCAAGTAAAGATAGCATACGTTTCTAAGGATCCAATATTTGGTACATTTTCTAATGTCACCAAAATTTGATATTATTCAAACCTAGCTAGTTAGATGATACAAAACTTGAAAAATTATATATACAATAGCTCTTTAGTCAGGATCGTCCTGATATAATTAGAATCATACATATTCATTGTTAGATTCTTATATATAAAATGTCATTTCAAGTCAATGAGTAGATCTAACGGTATTTAAACATGGTTTTAATATAATTATATATTATATAGAGATGCTTGCTCTTTTATAGCACAAGAAATTATTAGCATATGTAAGCAAATTTTTTTAGGAGCGATCTAAAATTCGGATTTAAATCCTTACCTAAAAATATGAAAGTGACTGAACTGTGAGAGTTTCAAAGTCAAGAT